GCGTTAGACCCAGGCAGATCACTTATTCCCTACGCATCTTTCTCTCCTGGAGTAAAATACAGATTATGATACTTGAATGCTATGAAGTTGTTATTGATCATACATTGCTTTGAAGATTAAAAGTGCTTTTTTGTTTGTCATTTTACTTCTGAAATGAGAATTGCAAAGTACAGTAGTTTTAACACATCAGCAAAGTTGCCCAGAGTTCTTTTTGGCCATATATAGCCTCCCTTTTTTAATCTTTTTTTTCTCAATAGGGTGAATCTAGCGATTGTACTGATCTAAAAGAAAAAGTGATAGAGAGAAAATTGAAGCTTCAAATGCTCTCTTTTCTGTCTTTGTTTCTTTGTATTATTTCCTTTCTTTGATCTTGAATGGAAAAGTAGCAACTTATCTTTGTCTTAACAGAAAAAGACAAGATTGCTTAAGAGATCCCTTAGTTCATCATGCTACCCTGCTTGTTAAAATCATTCATTCTGGTGGAGAAATCTTCACTAATGAGATCCTACTGACCAGGCATGTCAGGCTGTGTTATTAGTGGCTGTAATAGTTGGCAAGTTAAAATGTAACCATTTGGTTTTGTTTCCAGTGTGGCCGTTCCCTTCCTACATAAGGACAAATACAATTTTTACTTTCAGAGCATCTGAAAAGGTGGCTTAAAGCATCTGACAGGATAAATAGTTGCAGAATAAGGAACCTCTAAAATGAGGTCTTAAAAAAGAAAATAGAGACATAAGGTTAGTGGATATAACTGTATGCAAGGCATTGCTGTATCATGCACTAAACTATCTGCTCTAATTTAACACATGGATGTGTTAATGATATATTTAATAGCAGATTTCGTTTTAAAACAAGTTCTAATCATGGCTGTCTCTTTTTATTTAGCTATCGTAATAGTTTGCTGCTTGATAATGCTTAGGATCGTGTTTTCAGCATGCCTCCAAAAACGGGTCAGTAATAATTGCAGACATACTGAAAACCACCAGGCAGAACCCCCTGCACACCCTGTGGACAGAAGTGTCAGTGCCTGGGTCAACAGCTTTTCTCTCTTTGGTTGTCCACTTAATATCCCTGTAAGGTGGAGACTGAGGTTGAGTTCTGCAATGTTGTCACAAAAGAGTGTGCTTTGCAACTTTGTAAATACCAAATTTAATCTGGAAACACTTCTGGTTTTGAATACAATATGCAGCTGGAAGGTTTCTTGCTGTACAGACTAATTTGGAGTAACAAAAAAAGTCATAGCCTTTTTTACACTAAAGGGCTTTTTTGTCCATGCCTCTGAAACATCTCTTCATACCTCCTCTGTAGAAATATTAAGTATTGGAACTAAGGCAGCTGAACAAAATAGTATCATTTAATTTTCTAGTATACTCTCTCTAATCTATGCAAGTTGTGCTTGACACCAGTCATGGAAATTTCAGCTGACTGTTGTGACTCTACATCATTTATTACAGTATCACAAGCATGCCAAGAGTTGATTGCTTGAAGTGCCTTTAATTTTCAAGAAACACTGTACTGTTTCTGCATCCAAGCATGATTTTGATGGATTGGAATTGTCAGACTAAGTCTGAAATATCAAAGATTACCAGAAGAAAAAAAAAAACCTCCAAACTTGAAACAATTCCCTCACTGGGTGCCATACACACCTTCCAGAGAAACAGTTTTCATTATTGTTGCATGTGGTTAAATCAGATGGATAATGAAAGCAGGGCTTGTGTGTGCAGATGCTGCTGGAAGCCCTTAATGAGAGGGAAATGCCAATAAATACGGAGCGACTCGGAAGGTGGAAGCAGCTGTACTGTGAAG